AGGAAAATGAGCCCTTCCTGGGGGGGGCGGTGAGGAGCATTTGCCAAGGGTCCCTGCGTCACGGGAGGAAAGACCGATGGAAGCCCTAAAAGAAGAGGAAAATCCAGGAATCTTGCAAATTAGTTCAGGGGGGAAAAGTGGATTTTCTCAAAAGAGCGAAAGGAAAAATATGTGTGTGTATCTCCCTTCCTGTTTGTCTCTTTGGGTTTTTTTTTCTTGGGTATTGTCACGGGAAAGACTTTCACACCCAGGTTTTGCCCTGGAAATTCCATCTTCTGAGATGCACGGAAGGGTCAGTTATCCCGAAAAGAAACACAGAGCGTAGAATAAGATTTGGGAGGGACCTGGGAGATCTTCTAGTCCAACCGCCTGCTCGAGCACGGGAGTCTATACCAGGGCTCTTCAAACTTGGCAACTTGAAGATGTGTGGATTTCGACTACCGGCATGCTGGCTGGAGGATTCTGGGAGTTGAAGTCCACCAGTCTTAAAGCATCCTGGCTGGGGAATTCTGGGAGTTGAAGTCCACCCATCTGAAAGCAGGCTGACTGGGGAATTCTGGGAGTTGAAGTCCACCCATCTGAAAGCAGGCTGACTGGGGACTTCTGGGAGTTGAAGTCCACCCGTCTTAAAGCATCCTGGCTGGGGGATTCTGGGAGTTGAAGTCCACAAGTCTTAAAGTTGTCAAATTTGGAGACCCCTGCCCTATACTATCCTCACTCTTGATTCAGGTGGTTCTTCGGCCTACAAATTCGTTTAGTGACCTTTTGAAGTTAAAAAAAAAGTGACTTATGATCGTTTTTTTCACGCTCATGACCACGTTTCACACTTACGATCGTCGCAGCATCCCCAGTGGACACGTGAGCAAAATTCAGAACATTTTGGCAAGTGACTCATTATTTATGACCAGTTGCCATGTCTCGGGGTCATACGGTCCCTTTTTGTGATGGTCAGAGTCCACTAGGGAAGCCAGATTCACTTAACAACCGTGTGACTGACTTAACTGCAATGATTCAGTTAATGACAGTGGCAAGAAAGGTCGTAATACTGGGCAAAATTCACTTGTCTCGCTTTCCGAATGGAAATTTCGGGCATCCAATTGTGATTGTAAGTCGAGGACTCCCTGTATTGAATGAATGCATGTTTTGAGTTGCCACTGTTGGTTGAATGACAGCTAATCAAACAAGCCAGGTTTGGGCCCAATGTAAAAAGCAGGACAACACTCGGCGGTCACGAGCTTGCCTGATCCAAGATAAGGAGCTCATCTATGGGGCGGCTTCACCCTTCAAACAGCTTCCGTTAAGAAATGAATTATTTTCAGCAGCGTCCAGGGAGTTTCCAGAAAATTGTTTCCTTCCCCCTTTCGATTACAGGCGGTCCTCGACTTACAACCGATGCATTTAATGACTGAAGTTGAAACAGCTCTGGAAAAAAGCAACCCACAATCACACACCCAAGATTGTCGCAACATTTCAGCATCTTCTCGTGAACCAAATTCGGGCGCTTGGCAAGGTTGGGGGAAAGCCGTTTAGTGACCACATGCCTCGCTTAACAACTGCAGGGATTCGTTTTAACAATCAAAGCCCCAAAGTCGTAAAATCAGAGACGGCTCTCTTAGCGACCACTGGAAATTCTGCACGCAGTTGTGGTCATAAATCTGGATAGTCAAGGCCAGCCATCAAATGTCCTTTTTTTAAAAAAAATCCCAGATTCTCCTAGGTTGGCCAGACCTTCTATATACAGGTACTCCTCGATGTACAATCAGAGTGAAGCCCAAGATGTATGTTGCTAAGTGAGACATTGGTGAATGTATTGAGTTTTGCGCCATTTTACGGCTTCTTGCTACGGTTGTTCAGTGAATCATTGCAGTGGTCAATTCATACGGTTGTTAAGTGAATCTGGCCTCGCCATTGACTTGGGCTTCTCCAAAAGGTTGCCAAAGGGGATCACGAGACCCCCGGGAGACACCGCCCCCGTCATAAATACGAATCAGATGCCAAGGATCTGTATTTTGGATCACAGGGCAGCGGGGATGTTGCCAACGATCGTGGGAAAAATTGTCACAAGTCCTACTTTTCCAGCACCGTCGTAACTTCGGCCACTCAACGAACTATCGTTAAGTCAAGGACTACCCCTACGGGCGGTTTGCACACCTGGGAGAGCAACCTCCGAATCTACCCGAAGCCGAGTTCGCGGCCGAGAGAAAAGAACGCAGCTGTTTGGGCAGATGTTGCCGGTTGTTGGCAGGGGCTTTGGCAATGGGGAAACCAACCGTGCATTGCACAAAGCCGCCTTCGGGCCCCAAGAAGGAAGGATGACTCGGAGGGAAAGGAATTCGACAGGCGGCCATCGCGGGAAGCTCCTTCGGGCCAGGAGGCAGCGGCAGCGACCACGGAAAGGCGGCACCTGGCTCTTGGTGCAGAGGTGGGGAGGAGCAGGCAGCCTGCCCCGGAGGCTGGTGGGGGAGGACGAAACGTCAGAGGATCGGGCATGAGGAGTCCAGTGGAAGAAATGAGATTATTTTTCTTGGAAAAGTCAGAAACCGGAACACAACCCTGATCCTGTTCCAGTTTTTCCTTCCTTCCCTCCCTCTTTCCCTCCCTCTACTTTTCCTTCTTTCCCTCTCCCTTCCTTTTCTTTCTCTGTGTCTTTTCCTTTCCTCCCTTTTCTTCTTTCGCGGTATCTTTCCCTTTCTTCTTTTCTTTCCCATCTCTTCCTTTTTTCCCCCTTTTCCTGCCTTTTCTTTCCCTTTGCTTTCTCTGCGTCTTTTCCTTCTCTCCCTTTTCCTTTTTGTATCTTTTCCTTCCTTCCCTTTCTCTTTTCCTTCTATTCCTTTCTTTTCCCTCTTCCTTTCTTCTTTCCCTTTACTTTTGTCATTTCCTTCTTTCTCTCTTTTCCTTCTCTCCCTTTTCCTCTTTCTCTTCCTTTTTTCTTTCCCCTTTTCCCTCTTCCTTCCTTTTTTCCCCTTTCCTTTCTCTGAATCTTTTTCTTCTCTTCCTTTTCTTTCCCTCCTCCTTCCTTCTTTCCCTTCCTTTACTTTTCTGTCTTTTCCCTTCCTTTCTTCCTTCTTTCCCTTTCTTCCTTCTTTCCCTTTCTTTACTTTTCTTTCTCTACGTCTTTTCCTTTCTTCTTTCCCTCTTCCTTTCTTCCTTCTTTCCCTTAGTCTTTTCCTTCTCTCCATTTTCCTTCCTTCCCTCCCACACCTTTTCTTTTCCTTCCTCCCCGTCCTCTCCCTCCCTTCTTACTTTTACTTAATAAACAGGTGATCCCTTTACTGGGATTGATTGAACAGCCGTGGCAAAAAAGGTCGTAAAATTGGGCCCAACTCACTTAACCACCTCTTCACTTAGCAGCAGAAATCCTGGTCTCAACTGCCGTCGTAAGTCAAGGACTACCTGTACCAAGGAAAGAAAAATGTCTTTTTCTACCCCGACCTAAAAACCAAATTCATCACCCCACCTTCGTTGCCAAGTCAACACTGCAAAATGCAACGCAAGGACTGGCACTCAGGTGCCAAAAGGGGGCGAATTTATTCATGACAGGAAGGAAATAGAATTAAACTTCTCACCGAGTTTTCAAACCTGCGTCTGACGCCAAGGCGCCTTTTTAATTGCTTCTATTAAACTCTCACTGCGTGGATGCCTCTTCCTCGAAAATAAACACACTCGCTGAAAATTGGAGCACGTTATCTGATAGGCCGAGAGCCAAATCTCTTATTAACATTACTGGGCTGTGCTCCAGAAAAAATTATTATAAAATGTCAGAGGAGGAGGAGCGAAATTCAGCAAGGTTTTCATCCGGATCGAAACCAATTTTTGCTTAATAAACAGGTGATCCCTTTACAATCACAGGGATTCATTGAACAGCCGTGGCAAAAAAAAAGGTCGTAAAATTGGGCCCAACTCACTTAACAACCTCTTCGCTTAGCGGCAGAAATTTTATAAAGCAGCCCACATTTTATAAAGCAGTCCCTGAATTTTGCAAAGGTCTCGGATTCAGGCAGGCCTGAAGTTTAAGGTTCACTTTCAAACAATTTGCTAATTGTTATTTAATTGATTTGGAGTTAGGCAGCTTTGCAGGCATAGAGATTTGGGGTGGGGGAACCAAATTGGATTTCGACCAGGCTTTTAAAAACGGATCAGATCAAAAATCATGGCTAAACTCAACACTGGGATTTTATATTTGCTCTACTCCTATGAGTGTACTTTGAAATTAAGATTTTCTGCATCAAATGGACAGCTGGAAACTTTTATGAAATTTATGTAATGAAAATCACTGCAGCACCATGATTAAAGCAGGTTTTCTCCATCTTGAAAATATGAAGATGTTTGGACTTCCACTCCCAGAATTCCCCAGCCAGCCTGCTTTAAGAGGGATGGAATTCAACTCCCAGAATCCCCCAGCCAGCATGCTTTAAGATAAGTGGACTTCCACTCCCAGAATTCCCCAGCCAGCCTGCTTTAAGATGGGTGGACTTCTACTCCCAGAATTCCCCAGCCAGCATGCTTTAAGATAGGTGGACTTCAACTCCCAGAATTCCCCAGCCAGCCTGCTTTAACATAAGTGGACTTCTACTCCCAGAATTCCCCAGCCAGCGTGCTTTAAGATGGGTGGACTTCAACTCCCAGAATTCCCCAGCCAGCATGCTTTAAGATAGGTGGACTTCCACTCCCAGAATTCCCCAACCAGCCTGCTTTAAGATAAATGGACTTCAACTCCCAGAATCCCCCTTGCTTTAAGAGGGGTGGACTTCCACTCCCAGAATTCTCTTCCTTTGAGAATCAAAGCAGCCCATTGAACATCTGCCAAAACTTCATTTGTGGGGCAATCTAGATTCCATAGGGCTCGCTGAGAAACAGGATTTGAACCTAACCCAAATCAACAAATTCATATATTTATATATGCTGATATCAGAAACAGGCTTGGATAAAAAAAAATTATCCGGAATAATGATGGAGACGTCATCCAGCTGCAGAGACCCATCAAGAAACTTAAGGAGATGCCAGATGTTTGGGTTGCTCAGACTTTGGGGATCTGCAGGTTGCTGGAGAAGGAAAGAGTCCTTTAGCTCGTTCTCTTGAAGGCTTCAGGTGTTGCCGGAACCTGGTTAGATCTTGATCACTTGCGCGGCGATGCACGGGCTCTTCCGCTGGGCCCCAGGGACCTGTGGCTGGACCCAGAGCTGCGCATAGCTGCCCCCGACTTGTCCTTTCGTCAGCCGGCTGGGGTTAATGCAGATGCACCCCAAAACGTCCTAAAGGAGAAGGCGAAAGGCTTTAAACCAAGATTGTTCATGGCTTTAAACCAAGATTGTTCGTGGCTTTCAACTAAGACTGTTTGTAGCTTTAAAACAAGATTGTTCGTGGCTTTAAACTAAGATAGTTCATGGCTTTAAACCAAGATTGTCTGTGGCTCTAAACCAAGACTGTTGGTGGCTTTAAAACAAGATTGTTCGTGGCTTTAAACCAAGATTGTTCGTGTCTTTAAACCAAGATTTTTGTGGCTTTAAAACAAGATAGTTCGTGGCTTTAAACTAAGATTGTTCATGGCTTTAAACCAAGATTGTTCATGGCTTTAAACCAAGATTGTTCATGGCTCTAAACCAAGATTGTTTGTGGCTTTAAAACAAGATTGTTCATGGCTTTAAACCAAGATTATTCATGGCTTTAAACCAAGATTGTTCGCAGGAACCTGGGTTGGATGAGATTATGTTGAGGGAGGCATCCAAACACTCATTTGAGCTGGACCTTTTCCTGTTATTTCATAATAATTCATAGCGATGGTGATTTTACGGGCGCAGAAAATCCAGTTGAACATTCAGGGATGAGCTCTTTGGGGTTGCAACACAAGTAAGTCCTCAACTTACGGTCACCATTTCCCCTGCTAAGCAAGGCGGTTGTTAAAGCGACTCACGCCCAAATTTTACTTTGCGCGTGAATTGCAATGATTTGCTTAACAACCGTGGCAAAAACTGTTGTAAATGCGGGGGTGGGGGGGGATTTGGGGGGGGGGTGCCACTCGGCGAACGACCCGCCTTGCTTAGTTACAGGAATTTTGAACCCAACTGTGGTCGTAAGCCGAGGAGTACGAATACCCGCTTCCCCAAACTGCCCTGCCCCTCGTCTTTCTAAGATAAACAGTCTCGAAAGCGGAGGAGCTTAACAGATTAACGGAGAGTTGGAAGGGACCTTGTGGGTCATCTAGACCAACCCCCCTGCTCTGGCTTAAGAGACGCGTTCGTTTCCTCACCTCCACCCCCCATAAGTGACCCTGAGAATCCCACGACGTGGAATCAAGGAAGCTTCAAACTCAGCAAAGGACACCATTTGCCCGGCATGGAGTCCCCAAATTTGATCCGGCAATTAACACAGGGGGGGGGGAGTTTTCTCCCCCCCTGGCGGCCCTGTGCCCCCCTCACCCCACGTACCACCCCCTCCCACGTGGCATGAGACACCCCGTCGCCCTCAGTGCTGGCTATCTGAGCCCATCCTTCCACAGAAAAACCGTGAGGACTGGAATCTTGGGTTATTTTTAGGAGCCCAGCCCAAGAGCTTAGGTATCCGTGCACGAAGGGCCCCCAAGGGTGGGGCTGCCTTCCTAATATTTCTCCCCCCCCCAGCTCAGCTCATAGCTGGCATCTTCCCCCCCCCACACCTTAACGAAGTATTTCAGGTCGGAGGGGGTGATCAAGAGGTCCGGCGTGACGGGCAGAGAGGCGTAGGGGTAGAAGTGCTCGTAATTCACCATCATGTCCTCGGGGGGCGGGTAGAGAGGATAGTAGCTGTTAAGAATTATTTAAAAAAAAAAGTGGGGGGGGGAGAGAGAGAAGAGTTTGAGTTATAGCCCCCAAATGCTTTGCCCAACCTTTGGCTTGGCGTTCCAGGCCACGCCCGGCAGCTGTTTCCTCTCCTCTACCCATCGAGGACCAACGCGATGCCAAGCTGGGCTTTTGCCACGGTGCGGCTGCCGCTCTCATTCCAGGATCCCCCCCCCCCCGCCTGAGGGTCGGCATCTCAAACCTCAGGGCCAAAAAAA